GGAATGCTTTTGTCACAGTTCATTTGACTAGCTTGTGAATTGGCTTAAAACTGAATGACTTGTGATGGACTTGTGAAAGGACTTGTGATGGACTCGAATACAACAGTAGTATGCATACAGTATATATGTAGGCAATGTTTCTGGTCAGTGTCTTGACAATCACAACATGCATTTGGCTATTGTTGTGAAAATGCAGTCCAACTTTCACTCGCTCCGATGTTTCGTCCCTTCCCCACATCCAGTACATGGCGGCTGGTCCCTCTGGTCAACGTGGACTCAGTGCCCAGTCACCTGCGGGGGCGACATCGAGACCCGTTACCGCCTCTGCACCGAGCCCCCGCCTTTATTCAGTGGCAATGACTGCGTGGGATCGCCCAATGAGGAGAGAGCATGCAGCACCAATGGATGTCCCGGTATGTGATTGGCCATAGAGCTGTCAGCTCAGAGAAAAAACTGTTTGTCTGCACCGCTTTTGTGATTCGTCTGCACCTCTGGGCAGGTTCGATCAAGGACCATAGTTTGACTATTTCTGATTGATCGCACAGTAGTCGACGATGGTTGGACTTGTCTAGTCAACTATTTGCAACCAGCCGATCGAGGTTGGTCTCGGCTGTTACATGATCTAATTGAAACTTGGCATGCATGATGTAAATAGGACACTCCTTGCAAGTTCTTCTGTGAGATTTCCAAGTAATCCAGTCTGTGGTTTTGTTACTGTAATCATCTGAAGATCAAAGCCTCATGCATGTGAGTGTGCATGCATTGAGCTACCCCATGGGAAGGTATACATTTTTCGCTGGTCAGTCTCAGAATAAAAAAGGGGTGTTTTGCAAGAAAGGAACTTCAAATTTTCAAACTTCAAACTAACTTTCTGTTATCATCACTGAGCCCTCATACACTTTTAAATGTCCCAGTGTAAAACCGTCCAATCACACTCCTATTTTCAATTTTTCACTTTTTAAAACTACTTGTAACATCTTTTAATCTTCTTTTAATGAAGACCAGAAATTTGAAAGGTAAGTATTTGTAAACTAATTCCATGTTGATCCGACCCAAGAAACGTGTGAATGTAAGGAAAGCGTGCCGTAAAGATTGAGTTGATTGGTTTGGGTGCTACATGTATTTCTGCATTCAGTTGACGGAGCTTGGACAGCCTGGTCAGCCTGGGCGGACTGTTCCATTAGTTGCGGAGGGGGGAACACATCCAGAAGCAGGACCTGCACTAACCCGGCTGCAGTGTGGGGAGGGACCCCATGTCCCGAGACGGACCCAAGCCAAGAATGGCAAGACTGCAATATGTTCCCTTGCCCAAGTATGTTTGCCCCCCAAACCATTCACAGGTGTTATATTTAGCACTTCATGTTTTCATCTGTAAGCTGGTACTTGTTGCAAAGTTGCCGATCAAAATTGTACTGCAATCAGAAATCTGAGCTCACAGTCAGGACAGATGCTGGAATCAGGGGGGGGGTTGTTAGAAACACAGAGTTAATGAGCAGTGTAAATTACGTCGATACCAGCTAATCACAAAGGTCAAAGCAATCAAACTTTATTCAGTCTGAAGGTACTTGTATAACAGATCTTATTCATTCATTGTTCACCTGTTACATACACTGTACTTGTGGCTGCAGTGGAGTGTTGACTGACAGGATCGACCAGTGGTTTACTTAATCACGTGCATTTTTCTTTTACCCATACTGCCTTAAAGTGCTTTGCACGTGTTTGTTTTGACACCTGAGTTTGTGTACAGTCATGCCATCTCACTAGATTTCCTGTGTCCATTGAAGCTCAAGTTTGTTGTTTTTTTGGCGTGTGGCACACAGTTCATGGGGGCTGGTCTGCATGGTCCGACTGGCCAGATTGCCCAGTCACATGTGGTGGGTTTGAACTGTTCAGGGACAGGGATTGCACCAACCCTGTGCCCCAGCACGGAGGGGACAACTGCCCAGGGGATGCTGAGGAGACCTTTATCTGCAATGAGAACCCGTGCCCAGGTGGGTTCCTTAACCTGTTCCTTCCCCTTTTGTCCGGTGGTTAAAGATGGGTTGATGTATTCTAATGTTGGTGATTTTGGCTTGAGATGGGATTTGGTGTTACCATGGTTGCATGGTTTTAATCTGATAGAATTGGTCATCAGTCATTCCCCAAAGTGTTAGAGGTTGGTTTAATATTGCACGGCCAAGTCTCTTCTCTTTTTTAGGCAGTGATGAAATCACCATCAATTTTTGAATTGCAGATTGTTTATTTAAGTGGGGAGATGACTTCTGCGCTGTGTATTTTCAGTACCAATCAGTCAACTTTCAGGATTAAATCAAAGAGGTAGCAGTAGTTTTACAGGTTGATATTGGTGGTTTCAATCTCACCAACCTCAACGGCGGAGATCAAATTGCCCTTTGGAATCATTTTTTTTTACAACAGATCTCTTTGGGTTGTTGGAATGTTGGTGCCAAAATTTTTCTAAACTGCTCATATTTTCATCCCAGATCAAGAGATCCTTTCTTGCCCTTCAAGCTAGTTTTTTGAAAACCAAGTCACTGAAATGCCATATGCTTTTGCTCCCACACCCTCTTAGTGGTGTAGCAGTAATGTAAGTAGGGATACATTCAAGGGTGTCAATTTCTTTTGAAAAGTGGGGGGGGGGACATAACCCTGATCAGAACAAATGCAGCGCGAAGCTCTGAGCGGCATGGGGTCGGAAAATTTTGGAGTATAGATGCTCTGTGGTGTGATCTGAGACAATTTTTGGCTACTTTAGCCATTTTTTTCCAAATGTTTTTGCAAGCTATACATTTTCATTTAGGTTTTGGAAAAAAGTGCGGGGGGGGGGAGAAATTTATAAAGTATCCACCCACTTGGAAAAGTGGGGGGTGGGGACTGTCCCCTCCATCCCCCACCGATTGACGCCCACGGATACATTTACACTCAGTGCTTGTCGAGTGGGAGAAAATGGCAAATGCGGTGACCACATCATATCAGTCCCACTTTGCCTTCAGTTGCCAGGATTAATTTTGTGCCATTTCTGCGCGTATTATCGCTACACACTGTAAATTGTTTGTTGCCGTTTATCAATCTCCAATTCGGCAGTCAACGGCAGTTGGACGCAGTGGTCGTCCTGGAGCGAGTGCAGCGTGTCCTGCGAGGGGGGCACTCAGTCCCGGCAACGCACCTGCGCCGACCCTCCCCCTGCCCACGGTGGGGCCCGTTGCCATGGTAACTGGACGGAGGATGAGGTCACGGAGCAGCTTGAGACTGAGGAGAGAGGCTGCAACTTCCAGATGTGCCCAAGTAAGAAATTATTTGTGATCACTGTTGAAATGCCAGATCTGGTCCTCGTGTCAAGCATTGTCATCCATCTGTAATCAATATTGAGGGAGACACGAAATAGGATTTTCATGAATGTTGGAAAGCTTTCTTGTCATGTTACAATGAATTTTCATCTCCTTTGAGGAGGAAAAGGGGAGAAACTTCAATATTTTGGTTTTTAAGCTGAGGAAAATTTCAATGTTCATGAGCCATGGCACAACGTCATGCAAAGCAGAACAGTAGCGTCTCTATTACTTTTTATGCAAATGTATACGTATATCCCACTTTTCTCCATTTTCCTGGAGTAAATTCCATTTTTTCTCGTGTATTGTGTGAAGCAGCTTGTTTAGACAATAACAGGGTTGGGATTTGTCAGAATTTTTCCTGAGTTCAGGATAATTTAGTATGATTTTCCAGATTTCAGGACTTTTCCAACAATGCATTTTAAAATGGGGGAATCCTGAGCTCACCCTAATGACATTTTTCCCCATAGCATTTGATATAGATTCTATATCTATGTATGATCTCTACATGATATAGATTACTAGAAATAGGTACCGTACTTTAACCCTAACACTCCTCAGTCCTCCAACAGGTGAAGGATTGAGGAGTGTTAGGGTTAAGGGATGGCTTCAAGCAAATGTGCACCTTACGCTGCTGTGGGGTCATGATCAAAGCCTTTGGTGATTATTTGGTGGATTCTTCATGTTCCTCCAATCTCTCTCCTGCAATAGTAATGGTCACTATTTCTTGAAAAGTGTGTTGGTAGGTGACTTTTTTACAATTTTTTTGTACATGTACATGTATTTGTTCTTATGATCTACAAGGGGTGCCTTATGACAGACGCCACATTGCATCTCTCTTTGTCTTAAAAAAAAAAACCAGGTGCTACCACTGTCTAAATTACAAAGTTCACGTGCACTGCATGCATTCCCACGTAGGAAATATCTCAGATCACATTGTGTCCAGTACCTTTTTTCTCCACCACCCAGTTGACGGTGGCTTCACCCAGTGGACGGAATGGCCGATTTGCCCGGTGTCCTGCGGAGGGGCCACAATCTACCGCCATCGCAACTGCACCAACCCCACGCCCAAGTACGGCGGCCGGGATTGCCCGGGGCATAACGAGAGTCAGAAGATCTGTAACGGTGACATTCAGTGTCCCAGTAAGTATGATGCGGTTACTGCCACTGCTACGTGGCCTCGATTATTTGAAGTGGGGGACACAGGTTATGTTTTTTGTTCATGGGGTAACCAGTTGTTGCTCAAGTCAAGTTTGTTCTCTAGAACATGAAGAAACCCAACCTTAGCCTTGTCCGAAGTAGTCTCAGTGCTTTTTGTCCAACAGAGATTATATAGCCTCAGCCACGAGACCCATGGCAATGAGGCACTGTGCACTATCACAGCGTACCAACCCCCCGTTTGGTATAGGTACAACCTCAAACCCACAGAGCAAGCTTTGCCCACAGACACAATGCTCATGTTCAGTACAGTGTACATATGTATGCTTGCATGGGTCACGCTCAGCCTGCTGTGAGTGTCGTGACTATTGGCAAACAACACATGCAAAGGCATACTTGTATACAAGCGAGCTAGACCATCATAAACAGGTGCACGGACTATGTATATGCAGCTAGTAGGCCAGAATCACCCAACACCTTGGTTAGGGCGAACTCTACTTCTGTTTAAAAATTTCTGTGTTCATACTTTGTCACTCCCTTGCCCCCCCAAAAATGAAAAATGGAGTATGCTTTGTTCATCCCTGAAATAAGCCCAAATAGGAATGATGTCAAAGTGGGAATAACTGTAAGACTTCATTCATATATGTAGGAAGGGATGGTTGTAGTGAGTTACAGGGTGGAAAGGAGGCAGAGCCTCCCGCAGAGAAAAGAAGTACGGTTTGAGACTCACCATTCCACCAAATTGTCACATTTTTTAACACGTTAACCACAAGCTGCAGATGCTACTCTTCTAGGGCACCCATTCAGCGGGTATGTGCGGCACCTGAGGTGGATAAGTATCGGCCTTGAGTTGAAGTGGGCACTCACTGGCAAAGAGGAGACAGACTGGTGGGAAGTTTTTGATCGAGTTCGTGCCCACGCCTGACGCACCCGCAAAGACTGTCTTCTTATTCTAGATATGTCTGTATCTGAACGATTCAAACAGGAGCCGATCGCGTACGCTCAGCACGTCCCGTGCCAAAAGTGCGTAAATCCATACAAGCTTGCAGTGAGTTTCCATCAAAGGCGGCCGTTGCTCTGTAAAAACAGGCCCACTCTTGTTCCCTGCTCGGAGCTGGTAAGAGATAACCAGAAAAAATGGAAGTGCTGTACATGTCATGTACATGTAGGTAAAGATGTTGTCTGAAAGCATTACCACCCGATATAGAGTACCCAAGTGTGACGTCATTTTGAACTAGGAAGTGTTGTCAAACGTATGTGCACATGTCTGTTCATGTGCTAGTTTTCTCCATCTTGCCTCTTACATCGATAATTGCGCGTGTGATGTATTCGATTTGGTACTCTATAGAAAGAATCCAAAGCAGTGTGCCCGAGAAAGGATCCACTGACGACCGAAATCTGTCCCCCAATATTTAGCTTTCTACCTACACTCAAAGGGCAAAGTATTTTTAATCACTTACTTGTGTCTAGTTTCACCGGCTGCTTTTTCTGCTGTATCTTGTCACTCCTCTGTTTCCTCGTCAGACTTGGGGAAGAGGACCGCCCATGACGGCACTAGACCATGGACATTGTGCTAGCTGTGGGTAGGGGTGGGCATTGTTTTGCAGTGTTGTAGTGGAGTACTTTTGAAGTACTTCAGTTTTGTAAAATTTAAGTTTTTTAAGGAGAAAAGTACTTGGAAAGTACTTTGGTGAGTACTTCTTGAGTACTTTGGTCCTAAAACTTACAGTGATGGTCTGAAGTCATCATTTTACTTTGTAGCCTTACCTTTGTGCATCTTACACGATCAAATGGCCATGTACTTCATCTTTGTTCCCTCCTAACTAGCACTCGACTTCAACACTGGTTGCGGGGGGGGGTATTTTCATGAGAGGCTCATGTCATTTTTAAGAAAAGATTTTAATTATTCACGTCTTCCTTTCAGTTCACGGCAACTGGGGACGTTGGCTGGACTGGGCCCCATGCTCCCGACTCTGCGAGAACGGCACAACATCCCGCATCCGTCTCTGCAACAACCCCTCACCCTTGTACGGTGGGGATCGATGCCTGGGGAACGTGCAGGAGGTGGCCATCTGTAACACTCATAGATGCCCAGGTCAGTGAATTCCTTTTTTTGAAGGTTCATTGTATGCAGCCTTCCACTCAGTAAAAAGGTTTGGGAAGATGTGATCACTGTTTGTGAAATCAAAACCAAAAAAGTGACCCACAGTTTTACTTCTGGGCTACTCACACTAAGTTGACCACTGGCCATTTGCCAGTTAGTCCCGCTCCCTTGGAGAACTTATGTGTGGGGTGCGCGACACACAGCTACTGCGCTTGCATACAGTCGTTTGTCGCATGAACGTACATGTACGTATCAATCTGAAATTGTCCAAGATTTGAGACAACTTTTCTCACTGTGTACTTGATGTATGAACCCCGCGTATATGTACCTTCCTGTAGCTGAATCATTTGTGGTTGAGTTATCATGCAGGGCTTTGTCACACCATGACATGCAGTGCATTGTGTTGATTTGCGTTCACGTCTTGCCTATTAATGAACAGGCTGGATGAGACATGTGCCAGTGGACTGCATGCTTTTGGAATTAGATTTGTAAGTCCAAGGTTTGGAATATCGTACAATATTAAACAGAGACTGCAATTTGATAATACTTGTGAACAGCGGAAGGTCATTTCTGTGCGCGACTACGCTCTTAGTGGTCGAAACTGCGGAATATTAGTTTTCCCGACCAGCATCTGTGCCACAGTTCTGTTCCTGTCATGCAAAAGACACTGCTTGTTTTGCGCAAGTTTTTGATCAAAAATTTAGTCGTGCACATGGTGCCATTCACACTCGGGTGAAGCACAGTTTGTATGCTGCAGGGCTCATGCGAGTGGGCCATACAGTTTAACTCTGCATGCATGTACACAGTTTCTGAGTTTTTTGAGATCTTTGTGACTTCTTTAGCAAGTTTCTTTTGCTTGTGCCTCCCTGCCAGAATTCCACATGTGGTATTTTTTGGTGTAATATTCAAAAGTTCCATTGTCTTTTTTTACCCAGTAATAAAACTAGCTTATCACATAATGCTTGTCTTCTTATCTCATTCATTTACTCACTTTTAGCATGGTGAGAATGCTGTCAGTTTGATCATCTATCTCTAAAAAGAGTGAATAGACAATAATTCATCACATGTATTCATCACAAGTCACACCTTTGTAGGGCATTGACAACGAAACACTGGCTTTGTTACAAGTTCATCTCCGTAGCTTCCGACTTGACTCCATGCTAGATTCCACCTGATTAACCCCTACAGTCTTCAATCCTTCACCTGTAGAAGGTTTGAGGACTTTAACTTGACTTGGGAAAACTTGATAGAAAGACACGGGTTAGATTAGTCAGGATTTTTCCTGATTTGGAAATTTTTCATTAGGTTTTTACTGATTTCAGGAATTTTCAATCTCTTATAAATCTGGAAATCCTCAGCTAAGAATTAAGGTGTTTTCATGAATAAAAGTTGATGTGAGACACATTAAATGAGTGATGTAAGGGTTGCCATTTGGCAAACACAAATGTATACCATACCCGTGCTGTAAGGCCTTCAAAACCCCTGGTAATTATTTTATGAATATTCCGTTTTCATCCAATCTCACCTCCTGCAAAGACTTACACTTGTGTGCTTGGTTTCACCTCCAGTTCATGGTGGTTTCTCCCCCTGGACTGGGTGGAGCCAGTGCACCAAATCCTGTGGGGGCGGGCAGACACAGCGGACCAGAGACTGCACCAACCCCGTGCCCTCCTTTGGTGGGAACCCTTGCGTTGGCCCGACCATCGAAAAACGACTCTGTGCTGCCTTCTACTGCCCCGGTGAATATAAGAAACCAAAGTGTTTGCAGACTGAAAACTCAGGGTTTTTCCTCCTGAGCTTTATATTACAGATAAAACAAGTTGAATTTCAAAATATTTGAAAAAGTAGTACTTTAAGACAAAGGTTGCCATTGGTTTGTATTACATGTAAAAAAAATGCTTATTTTTAATCCCTTCTTTTTTTAGCATTTTCATTGGTTTTAAGTATCATGTACTCGCATGTACACGGAACTATGAGCACTTGTAGTCATAATTTTGAGTGCAAGTACTTAATGTGCATCTGTGGTCGGTAAGCAAAGTACTAATTTGAATGGTACTTGGCCATTTCAGTGCTTGGATAGTACTTACATATAGTACTCAGGAACAAGTAGTTGACTATAAAACTGATTCCTCGCAGTTTAACATGATGGTTGACACGTGTATAATTTTGGGTTTGATGTTATCCACTCCCACAGTCCACGGTGGCTTTTCCCTCTGGGGTGAGTGGGCGCCTTGCCCTGTCACCTGTGGTGGGACCGTGGTCAACCGCACCAGAGTCTGTAATAACCCAAGCCCACGCCATGGCGGTCAGCCATGCCAAGGTCCAGTCACATCCTCCAGCTTGTGCGCCAATAACCCCTGCCCAGGTAGGGTTATTTTTGGCTCTGCTGGGTTCCCACGAGTATTAATAGGCTTTATGTGTTGTGCCTGACCTAGGAAATCAAATCCCTATGGACGGTATATGTGTTAATAGTCTACACAAATACTTTATAGTCATGTTTTTCATTTCATTTGCAAGACAGTTGTTCAACACTGTCACTTAACTATCACGACGCAAGGTTTGATTTTACAAGAATTCTTAAGAACCAAATGAATCTTCGTGAATGAACAGTATATACACACAGGTGATTGAACAAATCTCTTTATAGCAATTCCTTCAATAGCAAAGTTACAGGGGCCAGCCAGGCTACCAGGCTATAATCAGAAGTCTAGAGAAACTAGAGAAACAAAGACAAAAAGAAATGGAGTGAGCTGAATTCCAGAATTTGCCCTCCAACATAGTTGGAGTGCTCTTCGTGCTCAGCTGAATGGGTATTGAGCTCTCCCAAGCTGGCCGAGTGGCACCTTCAGAGCTTTGTGCAGGTTGCCTAGTCTCAGATTCACCTGTGATCTGCCGTCACTTTTGTCCCACGCAGTTGATGGTGCTTGGACCACCTGGAGCTCCTGGTCGCAGTGCTCGGCCACGTGTGGCGATGGACGAGAAATGAAGAGGCGGAATTGTTCCAACCCCGCCCCCGCCTACGAAGGGTCTGATTGCATTGGGGAGGGGTACAGGGAAGTTGTGTGCTACAGGAGTGACGAGTGCCCAGGTTTGGAATCATTTGGGAAAAATGATGACAAGAAAAAAAAGGTTTCAATAGAAATTTAAAAATGCCGTAATATTTGGTGTTGTGCAGGTGTTATGTAACCTTTCAGTAGGCTTCAGCTTTTGAACAGGGAGCGTTGCATTGACAGTGAGCCATATCCGTACCATTAGTGAGCTAAAACTGTGACTGTGACTGTGATATGGCAAGGAATGGGTGTATACTTGCACATGAAGATGATTGGAATACACTAACATGACTAATGATTAACATGCATTCATTTTTCGACTGTTCAGTTTTACCAACGCCTCCATCCAAGCTGAACTTCTCCGTGTCTGTAACCAAAGCGGGCCTGGTGTCAGTCTACGTCAGCTGGGATCCCGCCGAGATTGACGAAGTCGCCACCAATTACTTGGTGGTGCAGGTACTGTACCACAGACAGGTTTTGGGGATCATTCAATACGTTTACTAATTCTAACCAGCAAATTACTGTTGTCCATTCAAGCCTCTCATGTGTTGCTGACGGCTTTCACAGTTCTTTTATTAAACCAGGCACTGTAAGCCCTTGTGTGGTGTGTATTGACTCTGCTCTTTTTATCCTTGCAAAATATTCTGTTTCGTTTTGATTTAAACAGAAGTATTTAATTCCAAATCACTGAGGATTTAGACATTTTAATTATAAACAACACAATGTGTAAACAGAGTGCATCCCTCTTTCAGCTATGTAAACTTAGGATGTTGGTCACTGTTCATGCCTCCCCCCACTTCATAAATATGCCATGACACTGCTTACCACAAGGACAGAGGCTGGATTCAAACCTCAGACTCTGGACGGCTTCCACTCACTCAACTTATGTCTGGTTTGAGTGTGTATGTAAGCCAAGCAAAACCACGCAAATGAAGTTGACTCAGTTTTTATGACTGGACGTCTAGTCTGCACGTTGAATGTCCTGCCAACTGTGCGAAACAGTAAATGACCTTTGTGTGCTGTTCCCAGTCAACATCCAAAATCCGCTCATTTCTCGGTCTTTTTCCAGGCCAAACGAGTCCCTACCCAAGGTGTTCCAAGGGGTAATGCCTCTGCCTATGAGTGGCGAGCGTTTGGTACCGTCATGGGGGTGCACCATGTCGTACCAGTCAGGGACAACGGTCAGACGAATGCTGGGTTATTTGAAGGAGACTTCAAGGTGCGTGTCATTGCTGGCAACCAGTACGGGGAAGCCAGCTCAGAAGAGTACTCATTCAACGGTGAGTAAACTGTCAGCTACATGATAGCTTGTTTCTTTCAAGTGCATGTATTACCCAAAAAAATGGTCTGAGGAACTATAAAAACCCTAACCCCCGGACCCTTTTTAGTAAAATCCTCCAGTTTGGGGGTAAAAAAAATTGGAATCTCCCTCAATCCTCCAAAATTTCCTGGAAAAATTACTTGCAGGTGTGCCTACTGCCTCAATACTTTAAGATCCTCCGGCAATTCCTGTCAGTATGTTGAGGCAGTGTGAATGGCATTCTTGAGCAGTGCGGTGGATTCAAAAGAAATATGGGGCTGAAGTTATGCATGACTAAGCAAAAACAACACAAGGTCTAACCTACGACCTTCACGCATGGCATCCTTCGCAATCAGCCATGCACTTTTGCCATTCAACCTCAATCCTCTAAAATTCTCCAAAACCACCAAAGGATTTTGGAGGATTGAAGAGGGTTTTAAGATGACATTTTGTGACCTGCTAATCGCAGCCAAGGAAGGAATATTGCTTGTTCACGCCAATTCAATGTGCTTAATGTATGTAACAAGGGAATAACTGCATTTGGTCAGTTGGTTTAGGAGAATGGACGCGACTGTGGCTCGGGCATTATCAGCGTTCGTTCTCCTGAGCAAGGTCTTAAACATTAGTTTAAGACTGGCCAAGTACATATTCATTCCCATTCATAAATACCTTTATATTCAGAGACTCAAAAGAAGTCAACACGATTGATTTCCAACGATTTTATTCTTAAACTTTACTTTCATTTCCTTGAACATCCCCGTTCATTTTATGGTATATTCCTTTTGAAAGTTGTCCAATAGAATCCCCTTCCATGAACTTGGCATGCGGGTGGTAAGTTGCGTGCACACAGACTCCCAACCAATCAGATCCGATTAAACTGTCTCGTATCCATGTGCCAGCGCGTGATTTACCCAGCGGGCATTATCACTTCTCAGGGGGCATTATCAAACATTTGTACGCAGTCACATGACAGGTTTCGACCAATAGGAATAGAAAACCTGGCCCAGGTATTTATGAATGCAATTTATTTTGTTTGATGTCATTTTTAAATGGCATATGTCCAACCCTAACTACACCTACACATTTACATGTACATGTCGTTTCAGGTAATTATTTGTATTTCATGTACATGTATTAAGTTAATTCTGTGCATATTTTATCCAATACATGCGCATGGACATATCGGCTTTGTGTGAGGATTAGTGCATACCACACATACATTCTATTCATCATGCACCTGCAGTTTCAATGTGGGCCTGCTGCTGGACAGAGCTTTGCACACTGGGCATACCGCAGCCCAGCAGTCGCGGTAAAAAGAATCCCGGCGTTAAGGGGTTAACAAACCCCTCATCCATAACAACCAGGCTACTGTTTGATGTGCGGTATTTCTGTCTTTTTGCCTTCACTTGGAAAAACGATTTGGTAATACTTTCACATAAATTTTCAGTCCAAAGAGACAAATCTGGAACCATGTTACCGGTAACGTAAAATCCAATCTCTGCCCGTGCAGGAATTACTTTGCCAGGTTTGAGGAATGGCCGGTCAAGCCGCTCTAGTCCAAAAATCAACTGGTCATCAGTTTCACAGCAGAGTTTTGGAATCCAAAAAACTTCCCTGCTCAATAATAAAAGAAAAGTCCAATTACAGAGAATTGCATATTGCACCATACCGGTACATCAAGAGTTGCGACACAAGGCAGCATCTCTGTGAATCTGAACATGGGTCACATTGTACATGTGCAATGAAAAGGAGGAAATCAGATTGCAAAAAGGCTTGAGAAATCCTTGCATACCACTATACAGACACACGTAGAGTCTGCACAGCAAGGTCACATTGGCTACTGCATGCCGCATGCCAACTTCACGCAGAATGCAATACATGTAAAACACTATTGGCACATGGAGAGGTTGGTAAGATTTCAAACCGCATGTACACGTTCATGCATCTTTAAACAATATGATCTCGCTCATCTACCCTTGTTCAGCCAAATAGGATTAACCTTAATTTTTGGCATCATTCACATGAATGTGCATGTGGAATTTGACATTGTAAGACAAACTGAAGTACCTGACTATGGTGGATGGAAGATGCCACTGCTGAGCTGTAAACTGGAAACCATTTTCTGCTTATAGATTATTCCATATTTCTTAGTAAAATGTACCTTTAGTTTTGAGGGATTTTCTCTGGCTTCATCAAATGATTTCTTATTTGGGTCATTCCAGAAATTAGGGGTCCATTTTTTCGTGTCCCTGTCACATCTGACATATGATTTTGTAAGTTCAGAACACAAGTTCTAATTTTCAAGAGTGATGAATTAATGCAAATTACCAGCCCAACAAATAGTAATAGTTTGAAATCAATTCCGCTGATATTTCCATGTCAAATAACAAAGGTCAGATGTAACAGGGACACCAAAATGTCACACTTTTGGACCCTTCATTCCTGGACCATGTATGCATGAGTCTGCCGAGGACTTAAATCCCATCTTAATTTGCTGTATCTTGGGTCATCTCATAACTTCTTCTTTTCTTGACTTTCAGTCGTCAAGTACCTACTGGGAGGATCAGTGCCTACAGCGATTCACATCAGCCCTGTGGCCATGACTGCCATAGTGATCTTCACTCACCTTCTATGCAGTGAGTAGATGGCAATGCTCAAGATATGTCCTTGCCCCCACTAGCCTTGCAAGGCACTTGGATAGACAAATTCCTCAAGGCTGCTTCAAGTAATGCCTTTGAGTCCTCACTACAGAGAATTTATTTGAACATGTTTTCATGTAATGACATGACAGGGCAACAAAAATGAATGTCACACATCAGGCATCTAATCAGCTTTGTATGATTTCATCTTTACACATGCACGCATCCCTCCCATGGTGTACGGGATAATGCAGGGATCGCTAACATTAAAAGATTCCTGATTTGCCCTTAGAGAAACAAGTAAAAGACATCTTCAAGACAGATATATGACAAAACAATTGTCAGCTGGTGTGATGTGGGATATCACGTTTTTAACACCCTAGTGATGCACTTGCAACAGGTGCTATACTTTCCCTTTGGTGTTCAAAACATCATATCGCACATGACAGCAGTACTTAATTGTTAAATGTACATGCAGTGATGAAAATATACAAATTGACCATAATTTGAAGTTATTACACCTGTACCTCCTTCTTAAAATTTTGTGTAAGAGGTGGTACCTTGGAATGAGTGAACATGAAATGCATGTACCTGTTCAATGTGTGTACATGTACTTCCATAGGGTATGGATGCGGAGCTGTTTGTGTTAGGGAGGGCAGCACAGTGGTGCATTTGAATACGATCAGCTGGTTCTTGCTTGGTCAAACAAAGATGACCACATCTCAGGCTTATGTGTTGTTCAGTACATGGCATTTAATTTCAAAAACGAAAGTCTCTGTTTTCTGGGGTTTTTTGTTTAGATTGGGAAAATGGCTCCACATCTTTGTATTTCAAAATCAAATGTTTGGAAGGGTTTACAGTGCTCAGGCATGCAACTTTTCCTCGGATCAGCCGATTTCCTCGTTTTTCATTTCACGCTCATGCCATTGAAAATTGAAAAACACTGTGCAAAGTCTTGTCAAGATTGGAATTTCATCGTTTTTGTCAAAGTCCAAGTTGCATGCCTGAGTGCTTTAAGGTTTGTCAGCATCAAAATAACTAAATATTGTCTCTTTTGAAAAAGCAATATTAGAAAGCAATGAAAAAAAGAATTCCAAATGCTGATAACCATTCCATTATTCCAAAGAGTTTAAACCTTTGACATCAACTGTAATGGCTTCCCTTCTGTGATGAAAACTGTCTGAATTCCATGACTTTCTTCGGCATATGACTCGGTGAAGTTTCCATCACTCACTGGTACATGCACACACATTATATAGTTTAGGATAAATTCCATTTCATTTTACTAAGCACAGAAAGACTTTACACCCACGGCATATCATTTCAAGAAGTTTAAGGGAATGTTCCGACCATTAGATTAAGAAACTTGAAACAATATGATAAAGTTTATTTTTATCAGGCACCATTTTTTAAAGTTGTATAATTAAATTGCCAACATTTAAAAACTGATTGACGTTTCCAGGAATGTTTGCATGCTTTATTGCTGTTTTCCCTTATCCAGAAAAGTTCTAGTGTTTATTGTAGTCACATTCTTTGCCTTTTAAGAGAGATTTTTCTGCTGGCATTTCAATTACTTATTAGAAAGTTTGTCTTTCACACATTTTCCATAAAGACCTTGCCACTGTTTTGAGTGCAATGTACATTGTATGTGTCTCTTGTCTTAAATATTAACGTCACTTGCCGAATTACCAAACAATCATAAAAGATGCTTTTGTAAAAATTGTGAAGTATATTTATCAGGTTTGTGAAACCACATACTACAGTTTACAATATTTGTGTTGTTAAATGACTAATTGAAATAAACCAGTTTCAAAGATACAAAATATAAAAAACAGGAGAAAATAAATTGACATTTAGTGGGGCTGTTGCATGATTTGCCTGTACTCCCTCTGGTGTTGGACCATCTTCAGAAAGACCCTGTGCTTGGCGTCGTGAAACTGCTTCACTTCACCATTGGGCTGGATGACATCACCAGCCTTGCACATTGACCGCATTGCATCCTGGGAAAGTAGCATGTGGGAAAAACAAAAAGCACACACACAGGCAATGGTATACAGAAGCGAGAAAGAGGCAGTTTGGACACTGGGAATAAGTGCGACGGCAAAATATTTGATTTAAACACTGGCAGGTAGTTAAAATGTCGTTTGCAGGAAGAGGGGAAATTGAACCTATGTGGATCTGTGCTTTACGCCAACTAAAAATATGTTGTCTCTTTTTTTATGGAAAGAGCTGTTTTGTATTGTTTTTCCCCATAGTGGATTTCCAAGGCTCTTGTCAATATGAATATGAATAGACCAAGTGAGGGGGATGCCCCTTCTGGAATACTGTGGTTTTTTTTTAAGGAATTAAAAAAACCATTTTAGAAATGGTATTACCATTTTAAAAATGTTAAGCAAGTGTAACATTACACTGAGCTTACCTGGACAGTTGGGTACAATCCTGAGGCACGAGCCCCGAGAATGGAAGCTCCAACCAGAACTGACTCATTTTCCTTGGGCAGGACAAGAGGTAGACCTTCAAAGGGTACAGATAAGAAATGTTGAAGATCTTACAGTGAGGAATGCAGCTACATGTAGTTGTAAGTGTATAAGGATTCTATGCTTTTAGTGGGTCGTGGCAAATACGTGGTAAAAACCACCCAATTTCTTAGTCCTAGCTGCAAACAATGCTGATGGAAGGGTTGATGGGGTGATAGGGGGGCACAGGGGGCCATGGCCATTCCCCCCCCCAAATGATAAAAAGGCAAATTTTTTTTGGGGGGGGGGTGCTTTTCATTTCCCTTTCTTCCAAAAGCTTGTTAAAAAAAGCTGGCCAAAATGTAGCCTTACCCTTCAGAAACAAATTCCAGTTACCGGATCCCGGTATTAAAAGAAAAATTTGGAAAAGGCTGACCACGTTGAATGGGGTTTATTTGAAACCCTCAACACCCTAGCTTGACGTTCAGTGCCTGTGCGTATACTTTCAATGTGGAATTCATTTATTTTATTTTAATCAGCTGAGCTAAAAAATGAAGTCTGAAAATAATTGAAGTCTATGCCAAAATTAACATTATTACATAATTACTCCGACTAAACAGCATTATTTAAATCTTACATACACGTTTTCTTTACTGGGGTCATGTTACACAAGTGCTACCCATCGAGTTTTATACAACAAATATTACAAATAATGAGATGTTTTGCTGTTAGACTAGCTACATGTACATGCATGCACATCAAAGTTATATAAGTTGCCACAGAAACAGATCAGCTGAGTAATACACCATCCATCTCAATTATCAAAAACTAGAGAAGGTTATAATATAGGTACCTATTACACTAGGCTAATGAGTAGCCGAGACATGTCAGCTTGGACAAGCTAATCTCAGTGGGCTGACAGCAATTTCTGTTTAATTCCCCGGAAAAGTGCGCTGGCTTACATGTAATTCATCATGTTTTGCGGGTTCACATCATACAGGCAGAGCTCTAATGACAAACATAAAATACTTGATGGTTTATCACTTCAGGTCTGAGAAACCACAAAAAGACTACAGGAGGGAGGGGGGTAGGAGATTGAGGCTTAGTTAGAATCGTATAAGGAGTGGGAAGGGGGTAGATTAGACCCCTGAAAATCACGCAAGATGGAGGAATTTCCTTTCGGCTGCTGGTGCACCAAAGTGACCCTTTGTGATTCTGGCCATGCAAACTTACACTATTTGACAGTTAATCATCTGACAGTTCTTTGTACATGGGCGGTACCGGAGCAAAACAAACATGGCGCCTTATTACGTAGGGCTACACTGGCATTATCCACAGCGAGAAATGTTGAATTGAATGGCACATCCCCAACCATTAAATCAATGTAAATTCAGAATCAGCATCCATATAATACAAAACCTGATTACTACGTTGTATTTACACAGTCTGTCAATATGTGACGCTGTACCCCATGGCTCCAGCTTTACTGCTTGAATTTGTAATTGGCAGGATTCCAAGAAATCATTAATTACATCGGCTTTCAAAATGTCCAGTCTCAATAGTCTGTATGATTATAAATACAAAATTCCTTCCTAATCGATCTGAATTTGTAATTGGCAGGAGTCCAAGGAATTATTAATTATAACAGCTTTCAAAATGTCCGCAGTCTCAATAGTTTGTATAATTATAAACACAAAACTACTTCCTAATCGATCATCCCATCACGTTTCAGTTCTGCCATCCTCTAAGAAACTGGATCTGATGATAAAGGCCCTCTGATATGTGTTTGCTTTCTAGTCCACTTGACAAATTCCAATTGATAAATAAAAAAAAAATTGATAAAATGTGACGTGCCTAATACAGCTGTATGCACCATACAGTCATCAGACACAAATGGAACTATTGATCTGCCACGAAAAACACACTCCCAATTGCTGCAAATAATTATGATCAAGCCAGCTACATGTATTTTCGGAATGCCATTTAGTTTGGGTGAAGGCACGGGCATTTTTTACTTATAGCATTCAAAGCTATCGTTGCCACTCTGTGAAGGGTCTGCCTACACTCCCTCATTCTCAGGCAAAAGATGATTCCATCTATCCACTTAGTGAAGTGGCACAAAACCGAGAAAACGATCAGCCATCCAGGTTTATCTTCTTCGACTCCGTAAGCAAGTCCAATCACAGGCACAGGAATCCAGCTGATCACGACGAAGGCCACAATGATCAAGACTGTTGTGAACGACTTGGTGCTCGTCCTCTCCTCGTTGGCTGGCAGGTTTTCCTCGGCAATGCGTCGCGCCTGGCGCCTGGCAATGCTCAAGATGTGCAAGTACATGATCAGAATGCAAGTCACGCAGACCATGCACATGCCAAATAAGATGTAAACCATGAGATGCATCTGGACAAAATGAAGCACGGCAACCACAACTGAGGTCACCGAACTGGACACAACAGCAATCTGCGATCTGCGGATAGTCATCAGACGGGGATAGTGAAGGCACCTGACTATGGCGAGGTACCGATCAACAGTGAGAAGCAAAACTGACATGAGACACTGCGTGCTCAACAAGTAGTTACAAAAGTCAACCAAGTTGGCCAAAAATGTCCATTCTGGCCTAAACAAGAGAGCCACATAAGGGAGAACGGCAAACAGCCCAAAGCCAAAGTCAGAAATAATCAGAGCTCCCATAAAAATCTTGGTTGTAGGTTGGATGTTCAATGCCCGATATATGACAACCAGATATAGTGGATTTAGAATCAGAATCAGTGTACTATCTATCAGAACAATCACTGCACCAAGTGTAACTTCCTGTTCTGAAAGTGCGTATGTAGACGCAGTACTGACTGCCAATTCAGCCGTTGAATTCTCAGCGATAACCATTTTGACAGAGTGAGCCACTGTCTTTTAAAATGGTGTGTCTTCAGTCTCAATCAAGATGGCATCTCTGCAGTTTTGATACTGAAACTGCATTGTATCAGAATCTAAACAATCAAGTGTTAGACTTTGTGGCTACTACTTTCAGAGGCAAAAGTCTAGATCTTCTAACACGCAGTGCATATAAAGAGAGAAATACAACATTCACGTATGTACTGAGGCAGACTTCATTAGCGGGAGCCGCGCCAAGGCACATGGAACCTCTCCATAAAAACGTTTAATTATAAAGACTATAAGTCCATGCAGGCCTGTAACTTTTGATGAGGACAGGCAAATGCAGTTTCTATGGTGAGGTCGCCTGTGCTGATAAGACCAAAAAGATATCGCTTCCTGGCAATGATTTGAAGACAGATTAAATTGACAAATGACATCAATCTCTAATGCGAAATTACACAACACAGGCACACTGGAATCAGCCCTTAGCAAACCCATTACTGGTAGCACTGGTTTCAGTGTATTTTACTTGTTTTTCTGTCCACAGAAAAATTCTTTAGATTTGAATACATTTTTAATATGTGTAGCCTGACATTAATGACTCTTATGCGCTGATAACAGTAGTCGACATCGTCAATCAAGTGCCTGCTGCCCACTGAAAAATGCACCATCAGCAAAATATCCAAACTAATTAGATGAGAGACAAAAATCTAACTAGCAAGGGTACAAACGACTGACAGTGATTGACTCGATGTTGCATGCACTGAATAATAAAATGGTGCCCTGCAATCGCCAACAAGACTGCTTTGGGGTAGTCAATTGTTATTCTGAAAGACCATCCATTAGAAATGGCAGAGACAAAAAACTGGTTACCTGTGACATCAGCGTGTGTCTGGATGAACAGGGAATTCTTACTGAGCCCACCACACGCATATAATATTGATATGCAGTGACCCGCTGCATCCATGGACGATATGATGTGTCTTGTGCCATGCTGTAAAAGGAGGAAATCACAAACATTAAGCATAACCACAATTCTCATAAAGCACTCAAATGAAGCATCAATCAATTTTTGAACTAATAATGCATGGATTTTTTGGTCAGGCTTTCCATCATTTATATGTAGTGTTTTTTCAGTGCTTTGTTTTGCCTATCTTGAGTCTCCCAAGAACTGAAAGCAAGATGGCGCAGAATTCAACGACACTAACAAAAACATCTGGTGCAGTAGCAACAAAGCCTGAAAAACAGTGAGGAACACATTCATTGTTTGAACATTGAGATTTTTAACAATGCCTGTCTCTTGGGAAAGAAGTATTCAGAATTTTCCATTATTGGCCAAAAAATGCATATTCACTGAGAAATACTGGCACATGTCAAGCTTTTACTCAAACACTATACAGGCAGGGTATACCTCAAAAACTGTAGCCTACAGTGTACAAACAAACAGAAACTGTGACCAACTGTGAATAATAATAATTATCAAGTGAACAATTGTGCGATGTTTAAAAAAGTTTTATCCTTCTTGACCTTTTCAACCTTTGGCTCGGTCCACTATCAGCCTCAGGCCCCTTGTTGGTTTTCAACATGCCATGCTTGCTTCAAATCACTCTACCAAATTTTGATTCCCTCAATAAAAGCCACCCGTATGACAGGATCTAGACCAACAAGAATGCAGTTCTGGTGCAAGTATCTATGATTTATATGTCTTAGTACAAAATGAGGGTAAAACACTTTTCACTGACATGTCATCAGATTCATTTCTCTTACTAGAAATATCTGATTTCCACTGTCTTGAAAATGGTACATAAGTATACAATACAAAAAGGACCGTAAAGACCAATAAAGACCCCCCCAAAAAATTTAATAAAAAAGAATGGTTTCTGTGCATTTCGCTGAATAAGGTACATGTACACGTAGACTATAGAGGAAGAAAATTGCTTGTGGATTCACGTCTGAGGAAAAGTTGTGCGTACAGTAAAATGTCCTCTGTTGAGTTTGTCCTTAGAAAATTATATAACAAATATAATAGTACAACTTACAGCAATGGCCTGGACGGTGGCAAGATAAATTATAGCGAGATCTTCAACAGTTGCAGACAGCGTCAAGCCGCATATCTTCAAAGCAAAAAAAGGCATTTTTTTTCTCTTTTGTATATTTACAGTTATCATTGAAAGAGTTTTACATAAGGAAGTATCTATTTCCGGCAACTATTCCTTTTCTTTTTCAGGTCACGTTAGTCAATGCATCCATTCTCCTTTAATCCTTTCTGTATATGTTCATGTAACTGAAGGAACTAGCGGATCAGCTGCAGAAAAACAACAGTCACAAAAATGGGGGGGGGGGAGATTGGAGAATTATCCACGAAATATTCACCAGAGGTTTTGGGGGCCTCACAGCAGTGTAAGGTTTATGGTATATATTTGTATTTGTCTAAATGCACCCCTTTTAAATACCAATTTCTTTTGCTGTATAAGCTTTAAACACAAAAAACATCTTACGGTAAACTCAGGATTTTCCAAATTTTAGAGGAGATTATTTGACAAATTCTGAAATCCGGGAACTTTTGACCCCCAAAATCCTGAAATCAGGAGAAATCCTGAAATCAGGAAAAATCCTGACAAATCTCACCTCTGCCAAGAATGAGCACAGTCTTAAACACAGGGCAAGTTTGATACAGGACCACCAGTTAACTAGTGCTTAGTTCATGACATACCTGGTACATGTGCTGTAAAGTTCAAGTGCGAACGACTCTAGTCAACCATTGTCAGGAAATTGGGCTGGAGGGGACAAAAGGTGGCCGCAGGAAGGGCAAAATAGCAAAACTAAACGTAAAATTGGTCATTTACAAGTGACATACTGTTTTTCCGGCATTTTTCTTATAACAGGTCCTCTCTGCACTGTTATCAAAAACAGTTAATGGCAACGAACGGTGCGACCAACCTCGATAAGTCCAACCGTCATCGACTACCATGCGTTCAATAAGAGTTAATCCAACTAAGGTTAACTATGGTCCTAGATCCAACTTGCCAATTGTAATTTAACACATCCAGTCCAAGTGTATGTACTGTTGAACTTTTGAACACAACTGTATAAGATGTAATTTGTTTTGGGGGGAAGGAGAAAGCCAAACAACTATTGTAAGTTAATGTCTCCCACAACAAATTAATCTTAAGAAAACTGATTCAGAAACTTAGACATTCCTACGTGATTGCTCTACTTTTACAGGAGACTATTAAGTTTACCAACCATTCCTTTAAGACTTGAGTCTGCCAAAGGAGAACGGTTGCCATGAAAATCGGGCCAAATGTGAAAACCCCTTGTCAGTTCTGCCAGCGAGGTTAAATTCTGCACCGTTGCCAATGTTTTTAACTCATCGTGTAAATAGTGGTAGACGGTAATTCCTCTGGAAGAGAATACATAATGGAGGGACTTCATGACAAAAGAATATGTCTTGTGTTAAAAAATCAGGGTTAATAGCCAATGAAACCTGAAAATCATGAACAAAAGAATATCAAATGTTTGAAGGCTACATATATTAATACCTTCTTTTAGAAATTTTGATCCAAAATACCTGATTAACTAAATGATACGTAACATGTGCTGGTGCATCCACAAACTACAAGTGCTGGTCACTTTTCAGTATGAAATAAAAATATGACGGTGATGCTGCCCCATGAGTTTGCTCATTTTGATAAACCTGACCGTGATGAAATTTATCAAAGTAGTGGCCGATGAAAAGCTATGCCAAAAGTCCCATCAATTTGTCACAGTATTTCTTTGGATGAAGAAATTATGTGTAAGTTCGTACCATTTTTTGAAAGTAAAATTACACATTTCTGTAGAAAAATATCTCGAACAGGTTAATTTCTGAATTTGACATGCTTCCTGTTATCAGAAACTCACATGTATGAGCAAACTCACCCTCTGTCAGCTTCATCTTTAGCCATTCTGTAAGCTGGATGAGTCTCCACGATGTGATCAAGGAGTCTACCTGAAGCACTCTGACCACCTTCATTCAGCCAATAGCCCGGCACCATTGCACTGAAGTACGGTCCCCATACACCGGGCACAAAGGTGGGTTGACTGCTAATCTGTGGCAACAAAGCAAATGTGACGATCACTAATCAAGAAAAAGTCTGGTTCCTTTATGGCATTAGTCTCTTTCTGTCAATGCAAAAACCATGGACATTTCAAAATGAAAGATGGGATGTGGGTGGCCTAGCAGTTACAAATGTGTGCACTGAACACATGTAATATAACTTCAAATAGACACACGACACGACGCACTTCGTGCTTCTTCTCTTTTCTGTTATTTTCTTATCAATTTTTCTTTCAAGAGGGTGAAATTATATGCCACAATACTGTATGGAGTGTGTGCAAAGGTTCAACAAGAAAGTTATGCTTCCTGTTTCCCTACGTACATGCGCATACCCTATTTCAAAGACGTGAACCAAATTTGGGGGGGAATCTTAGGAAACTGTGAAATTGGAAATAAAGAAACAACGATGTCTTTCTTTTTAGTTTGAATGTGGTGCAGAAAGGTTCAAAGGACTTGGTGATGTCACTTTCTTAGCCTCAACTATACATGTTACTGTTATCATTTCTTTCAAACATTTGGGGAACAGTTTCGTAATCTTTAGGGCACAATATCTTGGAAGATAATGTTTTATTTATAAAAGCAAAAGATCATGCTTTGGTAATGTGGTACCAGTTTGAAGTCCATGTACCAAGGCAAAAGATGTTTCTGTTCATTGCTGGAAATATCGATACAAACAGTACTATGAAAACAGAAAAAAAAAACCCTTGGTGATGAGTCCAGGCCAGCTGTAATGCCTGTGTATATGTAACCTAGGCACAGTTAAAGGAAAGACATTTGATTTTAATTTATACAAGTACATTTTGTACATTTATAAGTACATCGTGGAAAAACATTTGATTTTGCCAGAGTCAAAACACTTAAATCTGAGGAGAAACAGAGATTTAAAGGACAAGATAAAAAAACAATCACAATTTGAATTTACTTCCCAAAGCGTCACACTTCTAATATCAAACTGGACGATGAGGATGTGAGGCTAGTCACAGGTAATGGTTTCAGTCTGAGATACTGATACAATTCTGTCTCAGTTACAGGAACGATCAGCCATTGTATGTAAACATGGTTTGAGGGTGGAGAGTTAATGCTGACTTTGTGAGTTATTGGGAATTGACTAACACTGTGTTACGAAACGAGAAGTGATGTGGGTATTAGTTTGTTGGCATACTATGTTACAAATAAGCAATATTTATGAGTCCATTAATAAGAATGATTTCACAGGGCGACAGATTAGATATTCTATTCCATGCAATGAGGCCAAGTGGAATGGAAAATTCAATCTGCCACCAAATGAAATTATTCTTTCCACTATAAGAACATGAAATATTCACTGTTTGTATACACAATACCTGACTGACTGTGCCTTATGCACACGTGTAGTCCATCTGTATTATAATGGTATACATGTATACACATATGCAACTTAAGCAGACATGTAGGTCAACCTAAAGTGATAGATGACCCACCAATCAGATGATGGGAATTTTTTCAGAAGTTGTGTATAAACAAAAAGAAACCCTATTATACATGTACTCGCTCTACCATGCTTCATCGCATGACATTGATTATCACTGAATAGTACAGGCTAACACTGATCATGGCACTCATAGAAATGTACTGTATGCTAACCAGCGATGGAGGTCTCGAGACCGGTCTCGAGACCACTTTTTGCTGGTCTCGGTCTTGGTCTCGGGAGCTGTGGTCTCAGTCCCGCTGCCCTATGGTCTCGATAATGTGGCTGGTCTCGAGTCGAGACCGGCAATATGTAGCATTTAATGATCGATTACTTTACGTTACTCTGTCGTGTTTGTGTTTTCTTTAGTACCGTAGATAAAAACGTGTTCATTTCGGTCACATTTATCAGTACAGTTGATAGGTCAAACATTTGCTAGCCCGCAGATCATGTTGTCAACCCTGTTAAAGAATCGTTATATATCGTGGTTCGTTTGTAATTTTGTTTATTTCTCGGTTTATGTCTCGGTTCACTTTGAAGGGGTTGGTCTCGGTCTCGGAACTTCAGGTCTTGGTCTTGGACTATCCAGTCTCGAATACAACAATGATGCCAACATCATTTTGTTCCAAGAGTTCACATACATTAACCCCCTTGTGACAATTCCTTGCAAACATAGTAACAATCATACCGGTACAGGTAGGTCATAGTTCACTATGCAAAGATATTTGCCCGTTGCGTGCCTGTTTATATACACGTGGTACATGCACAAAAAACAGCACAAACAGTGACTGATACGAAACAAATTGTATAACGGTGACAGTTCAATACACTATCTGACTATTATGAACTTAGAAAATAAAAAAAAGAAATTTCATTGCTCACAGCTCACTGTCTGATGAGGTAGGTCTATAGAAAGGTTTTTGTGTCTACTGTACATACCGCCATATGGCATGATGACGTTCCACATATCAGAGCTAGTCGAGTTGTGATGGCATCATCTTTGCCGGCTGGCATCGAACTGTGCAAAGAAACGTCAGCCCCAAGCACACCTTTACACGACAACAGGAGTTAAAAATAAAACAATTATTGGTGTGCTGCTACTGGTGGTTCAACAGACAACCAGATCTAGAAATAAACTTGTAGACAATTAAATTGTTCCTAGGAGTGGGATACTGATGGGTTAAATTACAGTATTTATAATTGCTTACTGACTAACAAATGTATTGACAAACTGGCATCATTTCTCAATTAATTCTTCCCTTTAGTTAATGCAATGCCAAAGATCTTGGTTAGTTACATTACGGTTACTGTTGTTACGGCTTGTTCAATCATCTTTGGCACAAGTTAAACATGGCACAGACTAATAATCAAACAACTCAGGCTTTTTAGGGTAGTACAGAATACCAACCTTTCTCTTTGACTTCATGTCAAAAAGTAACAATAACACGTGTGGTTTAGTATGCATTAGCAAGAAACCAAAATGGGGAACCAAATATCCATGATTTTAACCACAAACTAGGATTTTCCCAACATAACAACCATGATGCAGCACCCAAATGGTTTTCTTCTTCTCTGTGATATAATCCTTCATTGGTGGTTGTGATGCATACAGTCGTTCTGAATTTTGAATTTTATCTAAGTCTTCATGAAATCGTTCACACTCACATTGTGCATGTACATCAAACTATCACATCAATTATTAATTTCATTGTTGACTGATACCTTGCTGAATTGTCAGTGAGTTAACACAAAATCAATGCACACTGCATGGGGATTTTTTTTTAATTTAGGTTTCTAAGTTCAAATGTCAACCTTTCCTAAACTTTCCTTTTACTTTGTACTAAAAAGTGCTCATTCAACCGCTGTGAGAAATTCCCTAGGTCAACAACTTATGTCAAAAACTGTGAAATTTTCTGTTAAAGTCATGATTCAAAATGTTGAGGCTTAATTATCCGGCATGTCTTGATTTGCATATTCTTGTACCAATCAAGTTTTCACTAAACTCTGTCAATGCACAGCTGAGATTGGGCTGAGGTAGAAATTCAGCTTCTTGGTCTGTACGAAAAATAACAATAACCTGGCTCTTTCCTAAGCAGTGCACATTTCAGCATCTTGTCCGTTTTAATGTCCCCTTACATTTCTTCCTCCAAAATTTGAGCCTGTACCGACTTACCCAGCCCCCCAGCATGGGCGTCAATGATGGAGGCACCAACAGGTGTGCCAGGTGGAAGGCCCAGCTCTGAAGCTGCCTGATTGGTCAGTCCACAACCAACAGGTTCCCCTGGTGACAGAACTTTACTGCCTATAGAAAAGCAAAAAGATCCCTTCAAAATGGGTAATTCCAGAAATTAGGGGTCCGAAAGTGTGGCATTTTTGTGTCCCTGTCTGACCTTTGTTATTTGACATGCAAAATATCTGCAGAATTGATGTCAAACATTGTCAAACTATTACTTTTTGTTTGGCAGGTAATTTGCATTAATTCATCACTCTTGGAAATTAGAAAATGTGTTCTGAACTTACACAATTATTGTGTCAGATGTGACAGGGACACAGAAAAAATGGACCCCTAATTTCTGGAATGACCCAAATAAGAAATCATTTGATGAAGCCAGAAAAAATCCCACAAAACTAAAGGTACATTTTACAAAGAAATAACTCTTGAATGCTACCCATGTGACAATGTCAGTGGGATTGGTTGTGTGAGAACATAACTGCTCTTTCTGCAGTGCAAATCAAGTACAAAGGTTGCACAAGGAAAGTTACACAATGAGCAAGTCTGCATGTATGATTGCGGAATAGACAGTATATACATGTACATGGTCATCATTTAAGGTGAAATAATGGAAGTCAAAGCCAAGATTTCACTATCAGGAGAACTTCAATGACTATCATGCTCAACTTTCAAAGGCTGATATATTCTGACAGAAGTGAATGTACATGTAGGTGTGGGTTTGTGGCTTCGTTTCCAAAGTCATAGAAGTGATGTTCTTATTCCCAATGAGAGAATTTCCGGAGTAGCTTCCTAGTTATTATGGTTGTGGTGAAATGGGACAACATATCACACTGGTAGGCCACTTTAATTCAGTGACTGTTTTGAGACTGTTGTAAAATTGTGCGCCGACAGCTTTAACAGAAGGTGCGACTACCTCGCAAAGCATTCTAAGAAAGGACTGCGAGAGAATTTCCAATTTTGTGACAATTTTTGGAACTACAAATAAGTCAAGCCCTATCTCATAAATTTGATTGTTCAATTTTGATCTTTATACCACCCTCATCCTAACCTCAGCCACTCAAAGAAAAAATAGAATTAACTACACTCTTTTTAGAAATTAAAATAACTTTTTATAAGAAATACTGACATCATTACCAATTTTGGCATAATTCTTCTCTCGGAGTTCCCCAAGACCGATGCCCTCCCAGAAGGAGTCACTCCATTCTTTTCTTCCAGTGTTATCTGCTTGGTATGTCCACTTGCACACGACGGAGCACAGCGACCTTAACAGTGATTAATCTCGGATTTACTGGTCAGTGACTTCTGGTGCGAGAAATGAGACAGTGGAATGGGAGGAAGAGGCATGGTGAACAAATAAAAGGAATAATGCCGACTGAATGGCTTCCCGTGTTCAGTGATGAGAAAGATGAGGTGACAGATGGAAAGTTCCATTTCATGAGGCAAAGTCAGCTCTGATGTAACGCTGTGCCCTATATTGAGTGCTGTGCTGTTTCCAGGTAGCCACTGCTACGGGCACAACCCTTGGTGAGCCAATGGTAAAATCTGAAACCTTAATTTAAAGCACTAAAATATTGCTGGTTTGCAGAAATATCACTGACGGTTGATGTACTAGTAAGGTTTCATTTCAAAACGTGCATTTTCATTGTTCCATTTCTTTTAAAAAGGGCCGCTTTTTTTCACCTTGACAAATCTCCAGTGGCCTTCCACGTCAAGAAGTCGGGGAGGTCAAAGAAATGGCCAGCCTTGTCCCAGCATTCAGCCTTCAGATTCTGTTGAAGAGAGAAATAGGATGAATGTTACATTCAAAAAATTTTTTGGGCAAAACATTAAACTTAAATTAGACAGCGGAGTCTATCTGCACCTGTTTCAGCCACAGCAGCTTGGGCGGCTGCATTTCAAGTGATATAGCCCCACCGACGTACTGAAGAACTTTGTGGTCGGTGGAGTTTATCGTGCTGGCTTGTTCTGACGCCCTGTGATCCATCCACATGATGACGTTCCTGTTGTTGTCCCCTGCCAAGCGCATAATGGAAACAAAGCCTGAGTCAGACTCATTGCAACTCATCGCAGGTTTGAGTCTACAAATGGGAAAGTGAGAGACATTTGAAAGAATACTGATGATGTCACACTTTGTTTACACATGGACTTTCTTCAGGGATTTGAAACTCCATGGGAAAGGATCCACGTAAAACAAAGCATGACGTTTGTGATATTTCAAGTGTGTAACTTAATCCAACGGTTTGAGCAGACCATGGAGGAAGGACACAGAAGGAGTTGTAACTCATGCACTTCAAAGTGTCCAATGATCGTCGCCGCCGCGTCTGACGAATAATAGAAAACATTCCAAAAATGCCTTATTGCTGCCTGCATCTTAGCTGGACAAGCGGGGCCAGTAACATCCTGGCAATACTCGTAATTTTTTGCTTTCAATTAAATACAAACTATCGATGTGACCAGGAAATAGAGAGAGAAAAATTCCTGATATTAGACCTACTTTTGCCATCATAAATAAACTTTTTAAATTTTGACACACTGTTTCATTATCCATGCAAAATTTGTAATTCTAGTCTCCTCCGCCCAATACATCAGTGTTCAAAGACCAGGTACGAATTTGGCTAAGACTGGCCATCAAAATCTTCACTACTTCTGGAAAGCTCAGTTCATTAGGAACAAAATGCTCTATTTCATCACAGGGAGTGATTGTGAAATCTCATAAAATACGCCGCTGTTCAAATGCCATAATAAAAATGATTCAAACAAAACACAGAATCTTACAAACAGCTTAGCTATTTATTCCTAAAAGAAGTCCAGAAGAAAGCGTTCGATAAGGGCAACAACTGCACATGAACACTTCGAGTATACAGCCTAATAAAAGCAAATGCGCAAACACTACATTTGATGATGTTGTCAGATCATATCAAGCACCAACGACGGCATGAATATTCAACTTCCTATACTGCAGTACACAACGTTTTAGGGATGCAGATTACCAACGAAAAATTGCAGCGACGATCATAGGGTACAAAGAGGGCTTATGGTTGCAAAACAGGTGGTGAGTGGCAGGCGTGCGCTGCGCTCTGGCTATGGACATACCGGGTATGCCAGAAAGCGGTATTTGGCCAGATGTTGTAGCCCGGGCAGTTCAACTTCCTTCTGTGTCCTTCCTCCATCATGTCCATGAGCAGACCAAGTGTAAACAATGCTTTATTGACCTTTTTTGTGACCTTGTCTATGGAGTGCCCTGTGTTACAAAATTACACAAACGATCTCGCATGCAACTGAATGCCTTTGATACAAAATGAACGGCAATAAATACTACAATGTCATCAGTACATATACCCACTCCAAAATCTGCTTAACATGGAAAATACATAAGTGATGCAGTCAACATTTTCCCAACCTTGGGGTTTCGTGTTGCATACATGTACCAATATTGTTCATGTCAGGAAATGGAAAAAAGGTATATTTCTTGTGGGTTTATTATCTTGTTTTTCTTATTCTGCTCCCCTTGTTCCTAGGATATTTTCCAACCTTATCTGCAACCAAAATGGAGCCATCTGTGGTATGCCATGATGGAGGTCATGATGCTTACCACACTTGCTAGCCCAATTCATTGTTTTACGGGAACTTTCCCGCAGTCCCGACCAAGTCTTTTTAGAAACAGAATGTCAATTGTTTGGGAGATTATCAAATTGGTGGTTGCAGGTTGTTGGGACCTGGGAGAAAATCTGTTGATTCTGCTAATGAACAGAGTTACACGGTGAACCTTCAAAGATTTGACCAATGGGGAAGTTTCTATGCCAGTCAAACTTTGCAAATGGGATGCATGGTCAAACTTGTGAGTGACCAATCATATTCTTGATGGAATTGTCCATCAAGAGACATCAAAGGGCATTCAAGGGCCTATGCCAGGGTCTGAATTCAGTCTGCACCCAAACCAGCCAGCAGACCACTGGTCAACAGTTTGACATTCTCAAGTTGACACAGTAGCCATATGGGGTGAGTTACTGCTTGTAACCTCATTTGGAGTTTTACTTTGATGGCTTAGTATTATGGACTGTTTTCCTGTGTTACTTCTAATGTTGATGTACCTGTATTGCTTGCTTGTTTCTAATCATTCCTTGTCACTGCTTTCATCTCAAGTTATTTTGACAGTGTACTTTCTTTCAGTTTCACTTGTTTTACGAAACCTGTCTTGATTATTCCCTTTTTTTTTGATACATTTGAATCAAAATTATGGATTTGCATTTGTTATTTTTATTCTACGTATGCAACATGAGTAGATTCGATTCTGTGTGTATAAATGTCTTGATGTATTGATGGATATGTTGCGTTGTTCAATGCAGTTGGGCGTAGACCTGAAACACAAAATGGAAACAGTCCAGACAGTGGATTATCCCTGACTTGGTGTTTGGAAGACTACACATTGTATCTCTATTTTTACCACTAGAGCTGACAGTGACTGGCTGGAAGTTGGTATCCATGGCAGCAAGTGAACAGGTTGCATCAAAGCCAATGCCTCTGATTCGTTGGCTGTCTTGCCCAATCATAGCCTCCTGTATATGATGAAAGGAACACACACAATCATGAGCGTCAACGTAAAACAAACAGAACAAGTCAACCTGTAACACTAGCAGGTCTAGGGAAGCATTTTGACTCAAAAGTTATGATTCATATCAGGATGCACTGTTCCCAAGCAGACTGATTAACAAGAAACTTGGCACCTCCTCTAAAGGTCAACTCATTTAAAAAAAAAAGTACACAGAGGGTTCACAAAGCCCTCTGTGGACAGCTGGTAAAAACACATTTACGTTGCAAGCTATGGAGTTGCAAGTTGTCGCCCCACGCCATTCACAAAGAAAAGACTCTAGGTTGGAGGTATTTCACATAGGTGCCCAGTGCACATGGTACACATGCAAAGACCATGAATTTAACAGAAATTAAACACATATGTGCTCAGCATGTGTCACTTGCCAAGCGCACAAGATTTGCACGCAAGCAGCGAGTTCCCAGCAATTGACTATCGTTGCTGTCTGAAAAAATACACAATATCTTCTTCCCGCACAAGACGGAGCAGATAGTTGCCTCGTTCATTTCATTTACACATGTATGCAGCTAAGTGCATCATTCACCCAGGTTTGATGAGGCAACCCTCACTTCATTCAAATTTAGGATGCAACCTCAATCCTAGCTGCAAATCCTCTGACTGCTCCCACATAAAGATTTGATACAGCCTCAATCCTCCGATAGCCCAAGTTTGTTGAGGCAGTGCAAATGGTATCCTGGAGCAGTAGGGATGATTTCACATACTTGGCCTGAATTTATGCATTGCCAGACGTAACAAAAGGACCAGCCAAAGATCCTGATACAATGTACGCATCCTAAAACCAGCCACGCATTTTTGTCCTATGTACAGCGTACTCCAGAATCCTTCAAAACCACTCGGCTGATGTGGGGGCAAGAGGTTAGGTTAAAAGCTTGAAATAACGGTATACGACACTCACTTACTTTGACAGCCTGACAGCACTCTTCCCAGATGTTGTCCGTCGACTGCTCGTAGATATCCCCTCCAGATTGCCAGATCCTGATCGGTCGGCTCCTCATGCCCAAGATAGCGCCGGTGTCATCAACCACTGCTGCACGCACGCTCCCTGTTCCCACATCAACGCCAATGTAAAGGCCTGGCTGGCTGGTAGCATCCATCTTGACTGGCAAGCATAACAATATGTAAAAATGAAAGGCAACAAAATATACACTGTACATGTACTTGCAAACTTTAAATGATGCTTTATTTGCTTGTGTACCGTAGATGTACATGTACATGTGCCTTTTTCATTTTTTTAACACTTCAACTTTGTTAGTCACCGCACTACAGCGTAAAAACTTGCTCTGCTAGAATGGCTAGTACAGGGGCATACCATTTTTCAAACGCTGGTACTTTGTGCTGAATTCAACTTATAGTTCAGAATGAATTTGACGAAGAATTTGTTACAAGTTAATTTAAGCTAGAGCTGAAAAATGTCAATGTATGATTAAATTTTCCATTCACACAGAAATTTGTCAGGGAAAGTTCAGTATGTCACATGTCAAATGCCCATTAACCAGTCTGCACAAGCTGCACCAGATGAAGGCCCAACATGTGTAAAAACCAAAGACCATATAGCGCAAGATGGAGAACTTCATCATGAATACATGTAAAATGTTGTAAGTGCATGGGCGCCATTTCAGCAAGCGATACGCCTGCCCAATGCACATGAATGCACAGGTGCTGCAGCAGGCACGTACACCTGGTACGCCAGTGCCTGTGCATTACCGTGAACCGTGCAGGCATATCGCTTACTCAAATGGCGCCCATGGTGATTACACCATTTGGGCAGAGTTATCCGTCTTGTGCCTTTGGCGCAATATGATCTTTGGTAAAAACACTTCCTCTGTTGTTACAGCTGGCCTATGATGGAACGAATTGAGTTTGCCAGAGAATATTTTACCTTCAACCACCAATTTGTTTTTGCAGGTTTTGCCGGAACGGCAACTGAACATGTGCAGTGAGTGTGTTGGGGGACTTAGACATTTTACTGCAACAATTAACTCTCTTTGTCTGGTTCTGTGCTACATTGTCATTATGTATTATGTTAATTTATTTGGAATAAAATAGAAAACACACTACCCGAAAAAAAATCACATAAGTCATCGTTTAACCCCCTCCCAAATACCCAAAAATGTAAAGTTATGAAATGGCTTTACTTTGACGAGTCTTTAAAAGACCTTTGAGAGATGTAAATTTAATTCAGCATATTTATCACTGATGTCCACTGACGGTTTGGATCACGAAGCCAAATGGAAACATGAATCACAACTTCTGCATCAAACAGATCTAAACAAATGGTGCAATTTAACGAAGTGAATGTTGCTTTGAACATGTGCACCAGGGAAAAACGACACACATGTGCAGTTTTGAATTTTCTCAAAGTAAAACTTTTAGTTTTATTGCGCCATTGATGTGGGCTGATTTTACCCAACAAAAAATATTTGCGTGTGGGATATTGAGTTTTAACGAAGTGACAATCTGTGTACATATATGCTGTGAATATAAGCAGCTTTGCCAAGCAAAACGGCACACGTGGGAATTGAGTTTTCAGGGACAGACCATCCTCCATGGGCACTGATACTCTACAATTAATTGTTAAATATTATTCTGTAATTGGTGCACCATTCATCAGTTTTTTAGCGCCACAAATTTGACTAAAAAGGAGAGATTTGGGGATTTTATGGCCTCCCCTACGTTACCAATTTTCAGTTCAGGTTGCATTTGCTCCGCCATGCAATCCCCCTCCCGTGATTACGTCCTCACTGACCATCTCGTTTTTTGAGCATCTGCGAAACGGCTTTATGCAATGACAAGGAATCAATCTTGAGCATCCACAAGTCTCCTTTACATGTACTTGATGATGTGGTGTTTTGGTGTGTTTTCTAGTTTTCCAGTACATAGTTTGTTTTCAGGGATTTAGTAAAAAGGTCTGTCACAGACGTTTTCCATTATTTAGGGTTTTGGTTTTAGCGGTGTAGAGTGTTTTCCGGTATTTAGCAGTTGGTGTTTTGCAGTGTTTCGTGTGTTTTCCAGTGATTTTATTTTTCCAGTAGTTTTTGGGAGTTTCCTATCCTTTCTGGAAATTTTCCGGTGGTTTTCTTGTGTTTCCATTCTTTCCTATAAACAGTATCACCTGGGACAAACCATTTTCTATTCCTCATAAACTATATTGGGTAAGTGTGGGTATACCCGATTGGGGGGAGAACCCAATCAGCCGTGATTTTTTTCATATAGTAGGGCCAACACTCTATTCATTTGATTCACGTCAAAGTCTGTAGACTGTGACGTAAATGAAATGAATAGAGTCTGTAGACTGTGACGTGAATGAAATGAAAAGTGTAGGCACTACTATATGAAAAAAATCACGGCTGATTGGGTTCTCCCCCCCCGATCGGGTATACCCAAACTTACCCTTGGTGTCTGTATACACTGGTACATGTACATGTATATGGAAATGCTTTCCACCTTGGAAAATAAACTTAAGCACTTCCTCAAGTCTACCTCTTGCATCTTTAACAATAAACAGGGCACCAGCTAGATTTCCCCAGCTTTCGTGCCAATTTTTTTCAGTGTGATATGGCTTACACATGTAAACTGTACGTGACTCCGTAGGCCCATGGGTACCCCCAGAACTGTGGGGTCCGACGGTCCTCAGAGGCTCTCCGCTCCCACGAACGGAGTGGGGCTGGGCGGACGTCGGACCCAACAGTTCTGGAGGTAGGGCCAACATGTACAGATACATGGGCACTTACTGTACGTGACTATGGTTCAAGCATAGAGAAAGGACAGGGCAGTCACTCGCAGCCAACGTCCGTCAACCGAGTTATGACATCTGCGCGCATGATTATGACATGTGTGTGAGTCTGGATACTGCTTGCGTAATTTCTTTTGTTTAGTGTACTGTATGTAGAAGATGCTGGGTACAAGTTCACGCTATTTTTAATTTTTTGCGACCCGAATCACATGAGAATCACGTGACCTTGCTGCTAGGCTATGTGAGAGGCAGGTGTTTATAGCAATTTACGGCATGTACATGTATAGGCATGACAGAAGGTACATGTAGCACTCTCAGTGAGAAACTGTTGTTTTGTCCATTTTCAGTATGACTCAGAAGATTTTCTTGGTGCTAGTCTTAGTTTTTAAGCTGGTGGACGGAGTCTACTTGCCGCAATCAGAAGGTAGGACGAGGAGTCTGAGAGGGCCTATCACTAAGTTTTCAGTATCAATGCCCATTGCGATTGGGTAGTACGTAGCCTCTCAGCCGCGCTGGTGGCGTATCCAGCGTGCGGCCGGGGAAAGGGAGGCTGGCGGATTTTTTTTTTTAACTTTTTTATATTTAGGCCTAGGCTATGTATCAAATATCTCTTTATTTATTCATCAAATATTAGCAGCAAAAGAAAAAAGCACCACAAAATAAAACTTTTTTAACAGCAAAAACATAAAGATGTCGGGACCGTGAGTAAGTTGTTTTTTCTCTCCCAACATCGTGTTGAATGAGCCCAAGGATCGAGCTCGAATTCGACATGTTCTTCATGTAGTTTATTTAAACTGTATGCATCTTCTTTTGTGTGAGATCAAGCAGTGTCACTGTCAGGCATATTGCACTTTGCAGCCAGGACCAGCCCAACTATAGCTGGGATCGGCTCAAGTAAAGTTGGGACCGAGGCCATAGTTGGGGGCTCAACAAGTCTGCATTATAAGCAAAGAATCATACTGGATATTTCCGTCTACTGTAATCATGGTATACTATAGCAAGAGGGAAAGTCTGAGATTTTAATTGGTTTGTTTCGTAAACATGGTTTCAAATAAGTATGATAAGGTAGCGTGATATCCTATAGTATGAACTTTGCCAAGTACAGTACTATGCATAGAAGAAGTTATTTTCTGTGAATTACTTGTTGCCTTGTATGCTCATGGAGAATTATTCCTCCATGGTATGCTGTTTTTTGTTTTTATTAAAGGGCTGCATAAAAATGATAAATGTAAAATGTACGATTTTATGCAGACATACTTTCATTTGGAAAAGCCACAGTAGTGGTGTTTGAACATTTTGTTTTGTTTCTTTCTGAACTCTACTGACAATTACAAGTTCAGACTAAACCACCATGACAGCAATTAAGGCCATCAGAATGAAATTTTGTGTTGTGTGCCCGAGCATAAATGAAAACACACGAGCAGAAATTAAGACATGTGAGGTATTTTTTTCATTTCTCACTATTCATTATTTTTCATGAAATCTTGTCGGCTCCATCATCTGTTCATTTTCAATTTTTTTGTGACAGTACCCATTGATTTTGTTTGCATATGTATTTGGGATGGTGTCTGTCTGAAGCACATGCCCAGAGTTCAGGTCAAGCTGGTCGCAGTTTGTGCATTCTCTGTTTTAATGTTTAGTTTTTTGTTCTTTTTTCAAATCTTTTAAAATCTGCCTTTTTAATCTTTTTTTTTTAATCATTAAGGCCTATGATTTTAAATTTTCATTTTTTTAATATGTACATGTAAATCAAACCACAATCGACCACTTAAAGGATCCAGGAAATGAATTTTCCTTAGAATCTTTTTTTGTGTATCTCTGTACTCTTCCTCCATGTATGAAGACTGTTTTACATCTTTTTTGAGTTACTTGAATTGAACAGTGTACTTTTTCAAACACTTGAAATTTACCAAGCATTTCTGGACAAGTGAGCGCACTTTTGCTTTGATGTAAATCCAGGGAGACATGGTTCAGGTTGCATATTTTCATGTTCAAATTGTGAACCTCAAATTTGCTATCTGGGAACATTTCTGTGAAAAGTATATTTTTGCCGGATTATTGGCATGTACTTAGACAACAATAAATTACCCAAAAAAATGAAATCTGTCATAGCAGTGGTTAAAAAAAATCTAGAAATTTTCTGTGCACAAATCAGTGCAACATTGAGATTCAGCGTCTTGGATGACATCATGGTTCTGCTCACGAATATGCAGATATTCATTAGCATAACAACCAAACAAGAATCAAAATATGGGTTAAAATTGCAAAACAAAGATTTAAAATGATGTTAATTAAAACCCAAAGATGCAATTTTAAGGGTTTTAGTAAAATTTATAAAAATATTTCTATTTCCTGGTTCCTTTAAAATGATCGCGAGAGTTTGGTAGTAAATAGATAAAAAGCTATGCTAGTTGACTGCATGCAGTGCACGTGGAAGTTTTTCTCATGCAAGATGTGTGTGGTGGAGAAGGAGTTATGCATGCATGTTTTATTGGCGTTTTAATTTTTTTACACAGTGTTTTTGGGGAGAAAACAAAACCAGGGAAAAAATTAAGAATTTTTACAATGTTTTGTCTTATAATGAAAGTTTTAAATGGGTGCTTCATAGGCATATGGGTAGTGGATGTACAACAAGAAATATCATTCCCTTGGCCTAATCATTTTATTCAACTTGCTGTGCAGCTGTTGTAATGATACTGATTCACACGAAAGAAGAGCATTTAAAAATAAGAAGCTTGATAAGCAACTTGTTTCCAGTTTTCTCTGAGCAACATTTAGACCTAACCTGCTAGGGTCCATTGAAATCATGCACATTTGCTTGTTGGGTTCAGAATGGTTAGGGTTAAAGAAGGAAGTGTGTATTTTGTCATCCCCAGCTACATGTAAACTGCAGTAACCATTATTTAGTTAGCTACATGTGGAAAGCACCCCCTTTTCAATGCGTATGCAAGTTGGTCTATGAAAACCTGAGGTGCTAAATTGCAATTAACAATCATGCAAGACCTGTGGCCCAGTGGACAGCACCTTCATCTTAGGATTATCCCTACTTTCAATTCCAGCTAGCAACATTTCTTTTCGTCCCCAAAAGTTAAGAACGTTCTTGTACTATTAAAAATTGATTACTATACATGTATAAAACTTAGTTCCAGAGTGTTATTATTTACTTTTTCTGATTCATTGCTGTGAAGGATTTTTGTAAGGGAAAAAAGTGTGAAAATTGTCAAATGGTCCGCATTGGGTCTTGTGAGTACCCAGTCATAGCGACATTGGTGAAGAACCAGTCTATGATGAATGATTTGCCATGGTAAACTTTGTAAGTCCCCCCAAAACAGTCACCGCGTATGTTAAAATCTTATCTGACAAACTATTGTTCACTTAAAGTTAGCTTATGCCAGCAATATACAATACCACGAGAGTATGATAGCATGGTATGTAGTCATCTGCTATAGTTAGGCTTCTGCCACTTTAAAAAACTTGCACATTTTTCATTTTGTTGTTGACCACTTTCACATATTCAGTGAGTCGAGTTGAAATCCATGAATGTATGTTATTTTTTGTTTTTTTGGTCAGATGGCATTCTATCCTTCCTGGCTCTTGGAGATTGGGGTGGCGTGTCCTTTACACCATACACTACGCCAGACGAATTGGGCTGCGCCAATCAAATGGGAGCCATAGCCAAGAGGATCAACTCCACCTTCGTCTTGGCCCTGGGGGATAACTTCTACGACTTTGGCATACGGACTGATGCCCACGACAAAAGATTTAAGGTACATGCACCAGTAGGATGAGGGGCGTGGCAAGCCTAGTGTGGTAACATTTTTCAAAGTAGGGGAGCCAGTTATGAGAACATCAGGCATCAGCCATTAATGGGCCAATCTATAAAGCTCCACCCCTTTGTAGGACCTGGGTCATTCTATAAATTAAGGGTGTAGTTTTTGTGTGTCCCTGTCATACATATACCTGACATATGATTTTGTAAGTTCAGAATTTACTTTCTAATTTCCAGGAGGGGTGAATTAATGCAAATTACCTGCAAAGCAACTTATAGTTTGAAATATATTTCAGTGATCAATATTTCCATGTCAAGTGACACAGGTCATGTGTATCAGTTACACAAAAATGTCACACTTTTGGATCCTGAATTTATAGAATAACCTACCTGCAAAAAGTGTGAGGGGGCATACCCCCAGTTGAAAAACATGGGGTGGGGGAGGGGGCACTGCCCCCTTCCGCCGCCAGTGCAATACTTTACACGTAAATCTCTTATTGAAGTACATGTAAGTGTGCCCATAAAAAGGTTCCCTGCTCTGCCCACCTTGTCAATGGCAAAGGCAGGCCTCTGATTCCAATTTCCTCCAACATGCATCATTTGTTTCATCCTATACAGGAGACTTTTGAGGATGTCTTCACAGCCCAGTCATTGCAGACGCCATGGTACATCATTGCCGGGAATCATGACTGGCGTGGCAATGTCACGGCAGAGCTGGAATACACAAAATTATCTAAAAGATGGTATGTACACTGTACACGTACCTGCTATGTGTTGTACATAAGTTGATTATGTTTTGGTTAAATGTTGCATCTTTTGGATGCCCTAATTCTCATACTATTTATTGCTCATGTCTCCCACTCTAACATAGTTCTTGTCACAGTCTTAATTGGTTCCTGGCATGTTTTTCATCATTTGTTATTCAACCAATCACAAGAAATTGGTTTGAACTCACACTAAGAGAATAATAGGAAACTATGTGTACATCATCATAATGATAATAATCACAGTTGCGAGCACTAACTAATGGTTGGTGCATTAACTCATATACACACAAACCAGTGTATGTATCCAAATTAAAATTACCGTAAATCACCAACAACTCAGATATCTGATGACATGAAAGTTTCTTTGAAGTAGTCAGCCTTTTTGTAAATGGATCTAAGTTAACCGATATAATTGTAAAAAAATACATAAATTATGCTCACAGTGACAGCAATTAAAAAATTTAAATTCCAGACATTAGAATTTACAAGTACTGTTACTTGTACAGTAGATGGCATAAAACTATTTCTAAATGATCAGATTCGTTCGACCATTCCCTCACAACTTTGGACTTGAAATTACTAAAGAGATTTACAGTACATGTACACGCATCATGATATGCCTATTCAGTATTACCCCCTCCTCAAAGAAGTAGGTCCTTTTTAATTCTCTGAACTGTCACAATTTTCCTGAAAGTTGATAGCTGTTGATGTGAATTTTCATTTGTCTCCTTAGGACTTTCCCATCGTTGTACTACGCCTTCAATCACACCATCCCAGGAACCAAAGTGAAAGTGGCCTTCATCATGCTGGACACCCAGGTGCTGTGCAGCATCTTGGATGAGTTCAGTACTCCGGAAGAGCTGGCGGGGCCTTTGGACAAGATTGCAGCAGAGAAGGAATGGCAGTGGGTCGAGGAGCAACTGAAGGCAACGCAAAGGTATGTTATACGGGAACCCTAGAGCTGTTTTAAATGACTGAATTCATTCACTACAGAGAAGTTTTGACACCATTTTGATATGAAAAATACTTCCAAATGATGTACTCTAAATGCAGTACACAAGTTCAGGATTCATTTATAAAATGGGAGGTTTTGTTTAAGTCGGTGGTGGGGATCTGCCGACCTTCTGGATTCAGAACTGAAAGAAAAATAAATTTTTTTTTTAATTTTGTGAAGTCTCGCATCCACCGACCAACAAATTTACCAATATTTAAATATAAAAATATTTTTTGCTCCGCTGTTCGACCCACGGGGAATTCCCTGATTTTACTACTGTGAGCTTTGGTTGCTCAGCAGCTAGTGCTAGTGGTAAGGGATATATCTTTTTTCTTCTGTAGAGAAAATTTTAATGGGTGCTTCCCTCTGACTCGAAGACCCTTATTTTGTTTTTGTTGAGACGATAGAAAATCCTTTTTGTTTGTTCTTTTCTGTCTCACTCTAAAATTTGTCTGAAAATAAATCCGAGCACCAACTTATAAAAACATTCCAACAGTGATACGATGCTGTAAACATACATGTACCTCAGCAAAATTCACCTGCAGCACTTTTTGCACAGGTGTCTGTTATGCACGTGGAGCAAAATGAAATGCTCATTTGTTGATCGTACATTTAAGTTTTAGCTATATCAGACTTGTTGACACGTCATAATGTGCTTTTAGCCATACAAAATTTCAAGTTATCCATTGGTTTGTGCACAGACATGGATGTACCCAACAGGCTTAATTTAATTGCACAGCAAGTTACCCAGAAATTTAATATACGTGTAGCTCTACCATTTACTTGGGCATAGAGAGGCCAGGTGCATGAATCAAGTGGCCCAGGTAGCTCCATCACTGGTCATTTGCAGTGGCACCTGCCAATGGAAGCACAGTATAGGCATTGTGGTAACCGTTGTACGGAGCAGCTGTTCTGGGCACCTGGCACAAACCCTAACACAAGGCTTTGTGCCATCGATTCGGCCATCAAAATGTCCAGTGAAGCATTGCTGTGTTTGTGTACATGTACGTGCACCGGAAATCATCTCAGTCAGCAGGATACATGTAGTTGTTGAAATGACTTGTACTGTGTCTTAGGCTCTGCCCTAAAATACAAGCAAAACTCTGCCGTTGCGGTCAGATACCCTACAAAAAGGACACTCCCCCCCTCCCCACTTTATGCAGGGCCTGTATTGGGGTCTTAATGAATCAGCCTATTAATGGCTGATGCCTGATGGTCTTACAACTGCCCCCCCCCCACTTTGAAAATCATTCTGCTGCCACTGAATTGGGTGCCCATGGTGTCTCCGCCCCTGCCCAAGAAAGCTGAGGCATAGTGGATGGTGTATGTCAAATTAAAACTTGTGTGCTCAAGAAAGTAAGTTTCATCTTGTGACCATCGATCTTGACCACTCAGCTATTCACAGCTGTGCATCTGTGGGCCTGATTAGTTTAGTTTTCTTTTTTAACAAACAAACAGTGCGGACTATGTGATTGTCGCTGGTCATTATCCGGTGTGGTCTATAGCAGAGCATGGGCCTACAGATTGTCTGGTATCCCGGCTCAGACCCCTGCTTATCAAGTACAATGTCAGTGCTTATTTCTCCGGGCATGACCACAATCTTCAGGTAAGTTTCAATTTAAGAAAAAAAAATTCTTGAGTAGATTTCCCTTTTTCAGCTGACGCCCCCAAAATAAAATCTTGAAAATTTTCCCACATGCTAAAATGGTGGGTGGGGAGGTTGTCAAGCAATATTATACGGTCCGATGTTGTTCACACTTTTTCTCCTCATTGGTTGAGAACCAGCATTTGTCCTTATATACGTGTATAATGAGGCTTGTGCTCTGTACGACGATAATCATGCATTTTTTTATACAGAGATACTTTTAGTTCAACTGAAGTAACATCCACACATGTTTCTGATGCTAGAATTTGTCACGGTATACTTGTTATGACAGGTTGATCATCCCATGGTAATTGAAAAAGTTTTAGGGATGAAGCTCACATATTGAAATTGACTAAATCTTTAGAACTTCAAACATCACAACCAAGAAAATTAATGTGATTTATCAAATCAGAAGAGAATAAAACCTTTCACCTATGGGGTGTCGGTTTTATTTGCAGCTAAAAGAACTGTGTTTGTTTGATATCTTTTCAATTTTTTTAATCCTAACCCCCAAGCATATCATTTAGCCTACAGGACTCATGCAAAATACTATGTAGTAGTCTGAGCCGGAAGGACCTAGCCCTATAAATTATTGTATCTGGCTAGGGCACTTCCATTGCTACTTGAACAGAGAACAATAACGTTATGCATTCATAGTGCCACAGGACTGTGTGGTACATGAATGGCTTCAGGGAACAATTAGGTCACGTCCTCATACAAGCAGTAGTGCTGTATGCTACATTTTACTACTAAGTAGTCATTTTTAGTATTCGGTACACGTAGGGTTATAAGGTTAAAGTGTGTCAAAATGAGTAAAACTATTGAACTGTAAAGTAGTGCAGATTCTTCAAGCTTAGTCGCTTTATTTTGACCATGATAAGAAATAAGGGGCTGGTAACTGGCTATAACATAAAAAAGGAATAACCAATAATGAGTAAAAAGAAACCTAAATTAAACATAAAACAATAAAAGTAAACGAGAACTTCAGCTGAATATCATCAACATTGAAATACCAACTGGAGTGAAGACCAAGTTTCAATCCTCAAAGAAAGAGTGTAATAACAACCAGGTAAATGATCGTACTACTGGCAATCCGAAGAACACAAGCAGAATAATCAGTCTCCAAACACAAAAATATGTAAGTCTTGAGCCATCAGTGCTGTACGAGTATCCTGGAACATTGATTTAGCAATGATAACATATCAATCACTTGGAAAACCTAAATAAGAAAAGTATAGCTTCATGGCCAAAACAGCTATATCGATATGGAATGCCTTGTAGTCCTACAGCACTCACAGCATATAACAAATGATAAACTCACATTCTAAATGTCAGCATTATACTCAGTACATCAGTGGATTATACTCAGTACATCAGTGGATTATACTCAGTAATATCAGTGGATCGACTGGTTGCTTGA